TATTTCCCTCCAGATGTGGGGGTTTTGGAGAACAGCTTTGGGGAGTGGGAAGCTGAGAAGGGCTATACTCCAGAATCATATGTTTGTTTGTTTGTTTTCTTGGCTGCCAATATTTTATACTTACCTCATTAGGCTTTGTTCTTTTCCTTGGTGAAAAATATTTTCTCCCCTGACTTCCTATTTTTTGGGGGGTGGTGGTGGTAATTATGTTTCTTTGTTTGTTTGTTTTAATGGCGGTACCGGGGCTTGAACGCAGGACCTCATGCGTGCTAAACCCTCCCCCTTGACTTCCTGTTTTTCACTTTGAGGGGGAAGGGAAATATGCAGTTGCAATTCTCCATCTTTATACAGGAGTTGCCTTACATGATCTTTAAGGCTCCTTCCAGCCCAAGCTAGATCATAACTCTGAGTTCCCTGTTTGCACAAGGAGAGATGTGGCCACCACCACACAGAGCAGAGCCAGCTTGGCTGTCACCAAGGTCTTTACATCTGGGACAGAATGTTACCTTCTTAGCTTGAAGACTCCTGAGCAAGGACCAAAGGTGCAGGCCCTGTGTCTGCCCAGCCTGGTGCCCACAAGGGAGCCTTATGCGGTGGTTGGTGGGGAGCAGCCAGGATGTGTGTCCATCATAGCTGTAGTCAGGGTCAGCTAAGGATTCTAGGGTTGGCTGTAGGATCTGCCTTCACCCCAGGTAGCCCAGACAGCTGGGCTGTGCAGGTGCCCCAGCTCTGGGGATCTCTCCTACCACTTGGCCCTGGGGGGCTTCTTGGATAAGCCCTTTTTCTCTTGCATGTTGGGCTACAGGAAGTGGGCCTTGCCAGGGGCTGCCTCAGGGGGGCTGAGAGAGGCCCCCCTTTTCCTTCCTTGGAGGGCCCTACCTTCCTGCCAGGATCTAACAGGTCTCTTCCTGGATGGGCAGCAGAGCCCTCATGGAGAGCCTGCAGTCTCAGCTGAATCCTCCAGGAGGACTGGAGCTCATTCCCCACCCGCCTGCCTACCAGGCTGCTGGGCTGTTGCTGGCCCCCGGGTAGCTGGGCGGTGCCCTTATGCCCTGAAGCCAGGCCTGCAATTACAGGTTGGCAGGCCCAGGGGCAAAGTGTGCCAGCCAGCCCGGCAGCTTGCTGGCAGCCACTCTGTGCTGGGGGCCTGCGTCCCATCTGTCTCAAACACACTGAGCGAAGAGGTGACCCGTGCAAGGGGAGGATGGACCTTAGCTAGCCCTTGGGAGATGTTTGCCTTCTCCTTTCCTGGGGACGCCTAGAATCCATTCTTTGTAGTTCAGAGCTCAGTTACTGCCCAGCTGGAAGACTGAGATGGGCCAGGGTAAAGACATTGTCCTCTCTACCCGGCAGGGGCTGAGCCTTCTCTGGGGCGGGTGCCCCAGCTTCTCTCCTGCTCCTTCCCCATGCCTACCTGTGTGTGCAGGTGTGCATGAGGAGGGGTGTGTGTGTGTGAAGGTATGAGTGTGTTCACATCTGTGTGCATGTACGTGCATGAGTACAAAAGGAGGAGCAAGCTTGTGCACCTGCATACGTGTGTGTGCCCGTGTGACTGTGTGTGGACAACTTGCTGTCCGTGTTATGAGACCACAAGCCTGCAAGCATACACACTAGGCCATTTTCCAGCAAGTTCACCCCAGCAAGCCTGCACCAGTGTTGGCAGCCGCCGTCTGGTTGGTTGGTACTCTTGCCACACGTTTTAATACTTAGAATATCATCCCTTTGCCCTGCATATGCGTGTCCTTGTGGTGCGTGAGTTTTGTGTGTGTCTCCCAGGTTGTGTGTCTAGGTATGAGTGCACATGTGTTGGAGCTCTTGTGTGTGAGCTTGTGTGTCTACGCACGCTGCTCCGGCCAGGGGTGACTCAGGCCAGAAGTATTCATTGTCGTGGTCCCAGCTTGAGGGAAATCCTCTTGAGTCTGAAATGGAAAAGGCCCGGGGCTGAGGGGCTCCACGTTTCTCAGGCTCCAGGCAGCATTCCCAGGCCCTGTCGCCCAGGGGGACTGAGCCAGGGTGCAGGGGAGCTTGCACAGGCGCTAAGGGGACAAGAGCAGAGTCAGATTTCCCTTTTGGAAGTCCCCTCCGGGGCTGCTGTCAGGAGGGATGATGGGGCCTGGGAAAGTGGTGGGGAGGAGGGACCCGGGGTGGCCTGGACCAGGCCTCCCACAGTGGATGGGAGGAGGGAGCAGATCTGAGGGACATTTAGGATGCAGAATGGACAGGAATCAGTGACTGGAGGGCAAACAAGGCATGTGTCCTCCCTCTCTCTGTGTCTGGTCTGAGCGACAGAGGACACCTCTGGGGAAAAGCAATTTGTGCAGCTTGCTGAGGGCCAGTCCATGCCTTGGGCCTGTCTCAGCTGCCTCAACTGCCCTGGGTGAGGACAGTAATGCAGGGTAGGGGGATGGGCGGGGACAGCAGGAGAGAGCTGGTTTGGGGACCTGGACAGTGCAAAGGGCCTGTGGCCATGCAGGAGAGGGTGTCCGGGGTGGGGCTGAGGGACCTATGCCAGAGGAGCTTTGAACAGCTGGCTTCATTCTTCACCGTGACTTGACCTCAAACCACGGCTCTTCTTGTTTGTTTTGTTTTATGATCACGGAACCCAAGTCTGAAGTGGTCGTGGAAGCCCTCGGACTCTAAGACCTGATTCACACGCAGCCCGTGGGGAACACAAACTCCCAGCTTTAACAGCCTAGGCAGTTGGCCCTGGAGGCACCTGGTGTGGCATCTGAGCCACCCCACCGTTGTAGGGCTGGGGAAACCAAGGCCCAGAGGGGTGGTGACCTCCCAGGGTGGCCCCACGTGGCAGGGTGGGGCCAGGCCGTCCACCCCCAGGAGGGCGCACCTCTCTGATGGAGTGTCCCTCCCTGAGCCCAGGCAGCCGCCTCAAGAGACTCTGTAATTACAGGATTAGGCGGCAGCCTCTCCGCAGCTGGGCCCTTCACCCCTCAAAGCCATCCCGTGGAGACGAGGATTTGGTGGCATGGGGTGGGTTTCCAGGTGTGTCTGAGGAAACCTGGCCTCCTGGGGCGGCTTCTTCACCTGAAAGGTCCCATTGTGGCTGCAGCCTCCCTCCTGTCGGCTCTATTTTGGGGTCAGGATCCACCCTACTCCAGCTGGAGGAAGGAAAAGGTGTATTTCAGTATGTCCTGTGGGCGTGAAGGAGCCGGGGAGAGATGAGGCGGGGGCCTCAGCTCCAGCAGACAGCACAGCTTGGAGGGGCTGGTGCCCGGGGCATGGAGGGCGGGATGCCCTCGAGCGGCAGTTGTGAGGAGGGCAGCGGCCTGGCAGCCCCGGTGGAGGTGGGAGTCTGACTGAGGGAAGGATGGGCGTCAGCTGCCAGGACTTTCATGTGGCTCCAGGAGGCCGGGTTGGCAGACCCTGTCAAGCTGGAATGTGGGTCTGCAGACTGCCTGGGCCCCGCCTAAGACTCGCCCGCCAGCCGCTTCCTGATTCAGACCTCTGTGGGTGCCTGGCCCCGGCCCCAGGCCCAGAGGGAGACCCGCCCTGCCCTCAGGGTTCCCCAGTTTGTGGCGGCCTAAGGGCTGGTGAGACTGGGAGGACACACGGCTACTCCCCCTCCTTGGTGCATCCAGCCCTTTCTCTGCAGCGCTGGGCCACCTTCCTGCCTGCCCAGCCTCCTCACCTCTGCTCATGGGGGTTCTCTGTCTGGCGTGGCTTGGGGGCTCTTCTTAGCCCATCCTGATCCTGCGCATCCTTCAGGGCTCTGCTCAGCGCCACCTCCACTGGGAAGCCCTCCGCATTCTAGGCTTTCCTCTGACTTCCTTTGTGCCAGCCTTCCCCAGCACTGTGGCTGCTGGGGCCTCTCGGACAGCCTCCTGTCCCCCACCTCGCACAGGGTCAGCCATGGGGGTGAGGGGCTCACCGGAGAGTGGCTTGATGTGTGACCTGGGGCCTGAGTCTTCTCATCTGTGAAATGGGTGTAATGATATGTCTTATGAGGTGGCTGAGCGTTAGATGGGTGACAAGGGTGGACGTGCCTGGCAAGTATTCAGTTCCTTTGGTTCCTCTGTCCTGGGTGTTTGCAAGCCTTTGGGTGCTGGAGCCTGGGCTGCCCTGGGCACAGTCCCGTGACTCCAAGAATGACTAATTCCACTCCCGCAATAAGCTCTTAGAAGCTCTGAGAAATGAGCCTTTTATCCCTCCTTGCTGCTTCATTAAACTCTTCTTGAGTGAGTGCAATGAGGATTGTCCTAATCCTTTGTTAGTAGCTGGGGGGTTCGGGGAGCTGGGAGGGACAGGCCCACAGGGGCCTCCTGTTGCTGGCAGATATTGGGGCAGGGGGCTGGCACACAAGGTTATCCCAGCCCCACAGGTGCGCAGGGTGGGGGTGGGTGCTGGATGGGGCCGGAAGCCCCCAGTATTCCAGGCTGGCTTTGCCCTGGGCCAGCTATCGACCTCTGGCAAGCCCCGGCTCTGACCCGGCAGTTTCACTGTGCCAGGCTTGCTTACCTCCCTGCGCCGCTCTAGGGGTCTGGGAGGGGGATGGCCTGGGCAGGGCTGTCGATGGGGTGCCTGGGCCAAGTGGTCTGGCTGGCATTCAGTAGGCACCTCCTTGGTGTACACAGGCCTTCAGGGAACAAGGGGAGGGGTGGGCAGCCTGAAGCAGCCCCTGGACCTTTCTCCTCTAAGTCTGTTTCCCCATCTTTAAAAGTGGCCTGGGAGTCCTGACTGCCTCCTCCTGCAGCCCCTGGGTGACCTCAAGGGCTGGACCCTGGGGGCCATCCATCAGGGGGAGAGCTCGTCCCTGGCACTCCCGTCTGGGTCATGGCTGCCTGTCTGCCCATGAGAATGTCTACCCATCTTGGCGGCTGCTGGAACTGGGAAAATAGTTCCAGACCTCATCCACCCCAGTAAGTCTCAACAGTGCCTTCCTCTGTGCCGCCTGAATCTCCCTCTCCTCGGGTAGGAAGAAACAACATGGGGAGGGGTAGGCGCGAGGTCCAGAAAGCCTCACCCTGGCTGCCCTGTGTCCACAGGCGTTCCTGGCCCTTGGGGAGCTGCTTCTATCCTGCAGCTGCGCAGTGGTCGCTGACATCCTGCTGGTAGGTGTGGCAGTTGGAGTGGAGGGCTGGTCCTGGGGCCTCTTGAACACTGTGGACTCACCACTGGACTTCTGCTGTTGAGTGGCCACTGGAGGTTGGGAGAGCTTCAGAGACCATGGGTTAGGGAACCAAGGTCAATGAACAATTACCTTGGACCAGGGGCCTCCCTGACACTCTCAAACATATCTCTGACCATCACTCCCATTTTGTAGATGAGCAAATGGAGTCTCAGAGAGGGCAGGTGCCTGGACCAAGCTCACACAGCATGCAGAGGCTGAGCCAGGACTGGGGCCCAGGCTTTTTGTCTCTAGGGCTCCCTCCCTCCCTCTTTCTTGACCATACTCCTTCTCAGTATGCAGGCCTCCGCTTTCGGTGTGCAGACAGGGATGCCAGACTTCAAGGCCACTGAGCCCAGGTGGGTCCAGGCTGCCCCAGCTTCCGTATCAGGGGCTGCAAGGCAAGGGGCCGGCTCAGGCTGTAGCGAGGCCTGCTGCTGTCCTGATCACACGACTGCTGGGTTCAGAGTCTAGCACCGCCCTTCTTGAGCCGCACACTCTCTGCTCAGCCTCCCTGCCTCCTTCTAGGAGACGTGCAGGGGAAGTTTTTGAACACTGAAGGGCTATGCCCTTGTGGATTATGCAGGGTCCCAGACCGAGGGGGACCCCAAGAGCCCTCCTCCTGCCTCCTGGCAGCCTGGCATGGTCTAATGCTGGGCGTGAGGGAACCAGAGCAGCTTGGCAGTCGGCTGAGAGCTGTCTAGTGCAGGGGCATGAACCTGGATTCAGGAAACAGGCCTGGGTTTCTGCTCTGCTTCTGCCACTTACTGTGTGTGGCCTAGGCGAGTCACTTTGTGTCTCCAAGCCTCAGTTTCTGTGTGTGGAAAATGGAGATGAAAACACCTCATGGATTATTGTGTGGGTGAAACAAGATGAACTGTGTGGAGCTTTTGCCTGGTGTCCAGCACCGAGAATGCTGGCTTGGGTTCTGATAGCAGGTCAGAGGTTTCTGCTCTCTCATCGTCCGTCTCCCAAAGAAAGCCTGGCATCCTGGAATCTTGGTTTGAAAGGGCTGTGAGGAAGGGAAGTCATTTAACTAGCCAGCAAGACCTGCTTGAATACTACTGTGGACCGGAGGCTCGCTCTCTGTCTAGATGTTCTTCCCTGTCCCCACGGCCCAGGCTCAGCAAGTGTAGACAGGGCTGCCCTGTCTTTGACTCCTGGGTGGGTGTATCAGCTGCAGGGCTGGTGGATCTTCTCTTTTCCTCCCTTCATACAGGAGACTTGGGCTGCAGCCCAGACTCAGCCACAGACCTGCTGAATGGCCTTGGGCCTCAGTTTCCTTGCCTATAAAAAGGGGTAATCACAACCGGCCTGGCGGGGTGAGCGAGCTAGCCTGAGGGAAAGCCCTCGGTACATGGGATCGTGCTGGCAGACGTTGGCTTGAGTGGGGTCGCCCACTTGCAGGCACAGGGAATGAACTACCCACCCCCCAGCCTGTGCTCTGAAACCTGCCCCAGCTCCCTCTGCCTGTCCCCTACGCTCCTGCCCCCTGCTCCACATGGCAGCCCCCAGATATGTGAGGACTGCGCCCGTGTTCCCCAGTGTCTGTGTCTGCAAGAATGATTAACCTGGCAGAGCCAGGCTCTTTGCAGAGCTGTGTCTGGGTTGGGGGCAGGGGTCAGGGGAGAGGAGGGGCTGGGAGCCAGTCAGCCATAGTCTAAACCATCTGATTCTGCTGGGGAGCTGACTGGCGCTGCCCTGGGGGACGGGCTGGACGTGATCCAGCCCACCCGCTGTTCCCCACCCCCCTCCCCAGGCTCAGAGGCCTGCAGCCCCCATAGCTTAGCCAGGACCTGTCATCCCAGGAAAGCTTCTGCTCCCCTTCCCCCACCTGCCCACCTTCCCGAAGGCCCTCAGTGAAGGACGGCCTTGTGACACTTTGGTGGCCAGAGCTGGACCAGTCCCTGCAGTTCCTGGAGCCCAGTCCTCTGGCAGAGAGGGGAAGGCTTGGGGAGGGAGTGGTCTTGGGCCAAATGCTGGTGAGGGGCGGGCTGTGGGGACCCGGGCTGTGCAGTGGAGAGGCAGACAGATGCCAGCTCAGAGCAGGGTGAGGAAAGGTGGGAGGCGAGGAGACCCAGAGTATAACTCCTGTAAGAAGCTGCACTGAGGAGGATGGCAGCTGGAGCTGGCAGGACATAGGTTCCACATAGGACATAGGTGTTCCTTTTCTAGAGGTGAGGCAGGAGCAGCCTCCAGGGGGCAGGAGGGGAGGTGGGTGGAGAGGGGCCAGCAGGGAGTGGGATGGGGGCTGGGGAGGAAGCAGGCAGGGGCAGGAAGTGTGTAGGGGACACTGGTGTGGCAGGAAGTGCAGGGAGGTCCCATCTGCTCGCCTGCCCTTGCTCCTGAGGCAGAGAAGGTGAGAGGGCAGCAGAGCCCAAGAACCAGGGTTCTAGAACAGCCCACTTGTTTCCACTCCCAGCTCTGCTGCTCTCTGGCTGGCTAAGTAGCAACCTCTCTGGCCTTGGTTTGCTCACGTGCGCAGTAGGTAGAAAGACAGGACCTACCAGTTACGCCCAGGCTGCCAGGGACCAGTGAGCTAGTGTCTGCGTCACAGGTGTTCCTGAGGGTCGCTGAGGACTCCCCGGGCCGCACGTCAGTCCTGCCTCAAGGACACTCCTCTCATTGCCCCCCTTCTCCACAAGGAGGAGAATCCAGATTCTCTGGGGGATGGGCCTCAGGGGCTCTCTGGTCCAGTGATTCTCAAGCTTCATGGGGCATAAGAACTGGGTTTGGGGGAGCTTGTTACAAGCTCAGCTTCCAGGCCCTCTGTCCTTGGAGTCTAATTTGGTTGGGTCTATGTTGGGGTCCAGGGGTCTGAATTTCTAATGAATGTCCCATGGGATCCTGATGGCGATGTTGCTCAGAAGGCACCTGGAGATCGCTGGTCTAGCACAGCCAGCCGCCCAGCCCATGAACCCCTTGCAAAATTCTGACTAGCCCAGTCCCTCCCCTTGTTCACACACCCTCCAATGGGGAGTTCACTCCTTGCGCACTGGGAAGACCTTGCCTCCTGTTAGGTCAGTTAATAAAAAGGATCTGGCCCTGTCACAGCCAAGACCCACCTCAGACCACCCCTGGCAACCATCCCCTAGCCCAGATGGGTGGTCGTCAGTCACTCTTCCGTTCTCTCTCCATCAGTGTCTCCATGCTTTCCCGCACTGCCTCCTGCCCCTAGGTGGCCGTCTGCTCTCTTGTCTGTCTCACACTCCCAGGGGTGTCTGGGTGTGAGGCTTGAGTCGGGGATGGGAGGCAGGCTGCCAGGGAGTCTGCACCTGGTGGCTGCCACTCAGACTTTGTGCAGACCCTTGATCGGCGCTGGTTATGCCCCAGGCTATAAAGGGAACAGCTCTTCTAAGATGGGTGAGTCAAAAACAGAGGTGTTTTTGTCTCAGAATAGAGTGAGCCTGGCATTTTGGGAACTCAAAAGCCTCTGAACTTCTAAAATTACCTTCTGGGCTCTCCAGCTGCTGGTGGGGGGCCCAATTTTGGCCCCTCGGCTGTATGGAGACCTGGGGACCCTGAACTGGCTTGGGGAGACAGACCTCTCCCACCACCAGCAACAGGGACTGGTCTGGCTCCAGCAGGTCCGAGTTCCTGGGAAGGGAGAAAGGGATGGCTCTCTGAGGATCCAAGCAGCCCTAGCCCCTGCATGGACTTTTCTGGATGCTTAGGGCCCATGTTCTAGGAGGCCCTGCCCTTCTGCCCAGAACCACCAGCGAGTAATCACATAATTATGGGGTGAGAAGGAAGCACTTGGGGAAGGTGCAAAGCTGTGGTCAGTTCCTTCTCAGGCTTGTTGGCAGGTCCCAGTGATGAGTGGGAGGCCCGGTTTCTCTCATCACCTGGACAGAGTGGCTCAGTGCCAGTGACTCCAGGACCAGCCGGTCATCCTCGGGAGTGCCCTGCCCACCCACAGGGCTCCTCTCTCCAGTCCTGCGGCTCCCAGTCCCTGGGCTCCTGCCTCCACTTTGGCTCACCCTGTCCCCTGCCAGGAGCACTTTTCCCTCTTCTCGCTACCAATTTCCCACTTGTGAGGCTAGGGGTGAGTTTGTCCTCTTAGTTCCCCTTGCTGTTGTTCAAACATTCTATAGCAAATGCATAAATATTGCTGGAGAGGCTCCTCCTTGCTCCTAATGGCAGAGTAATCAATGGTCAGACCCTGGAGGAGAAGGCCTGGGATCAAATCTCAGCCCTGCTATTTCCTGGCTGGGTGACCCTGGGCCAGTTACTCACCCTCTCTGTGGAGGGTTTCCTTATCTGTAACATGTGGATTGTAATTGTATCTCCCTCATGGGTTGGTTGAGTGGATATAGAAAATATATATAGGAGATATATAAAATGCATACAGGAAGCATTTAATAAATGTCAGTAACTATCATTGTTATTATTCTCTGATGGGCTTGGATTATGGACAGCTAGTCCTTGGGGATAAGACTCTGGGGTGGAAAGCTCCCCTGTGGCTGCCCTTTTGGGACCACTTGACCATGTGGCTTCTGCTTGAACCCCTCCTCCCCCAACACCCGTCCCTCGTTGCACCCCTGGGTTCTGGCAGAGTTTCTCCTGGGACCAGTGTCCCAGATGGTTCTACCTGACTTACTTAGTTGGCAGACTCTCAGCGAGTCCCCTCTGTGCCTGGCGCCTTGCTGTACCCCAGGGAGCCTGGGAGAAATTAGGCAGGAGCTTTGCTGCCCAGACGCTGTAGGGGTGAGGGGAGGTGGACAAAGATGGAACCCTTCCAGCTGTGGGGAATGTGCATTCAGCTAGGAATGCACACAGGGGCTGTGGGAGCTCAGGGTAGGCACCTGAACTCTGGAAGGCTTCACGGAGGAGGTGAGCCCAAAGTCAGTCCTGAAGGGCAAATAGGGATGCTCCAGCTGGACCAGAGAGGGGAAGGCTCTCCAGGCAGAAGGCACAGCATATTCAAATGCCCAGAAGCATTCTGCCTCCTGGACTCATAGGGCGTTATTTCTGTCTGATGTCCACCTGAAGCCTCCAGGTAGCAGATGGAGAATGATAATAAACAAAATCCTCCATGCAGGTGCTATTAGCCCCATATGGGGATGAGGAGCCTGAGGCACAGGGAAGTGGAGTGGCTGGCCCAAAGTCACACAGCTAGCGAGTGGGGGACGTGGGATTAGAACCCAAGACAACCTGACTCCGGAATTCATATTCTTAACCTTCCACCCCCTACGATGTAGGTCTTTCCAGCAAGGCTGCCTTTAGTCTCTGCCCAGAGGGGCTTCAACTTCCTGAGAGAGAGGCTGAGCCCCCACACCACCCCACCCAGGTGCCCACACATGCAGACACCTAGCCGTGCACCTGCTTCACCCTACAGCCCACACTAACGCCTCCTGGGCCTCTAAGCTGGGACGCCCCAGCCCCATCAGTGTTGTCACAGGCAGGCCTGGTCTCCCTGGTTCCAGGCAAACCCTCAAGAAGGGTGGCCTCCATCAGGGGCCTGGCAGCTCCATCCCAGGGGACTGGGGAACCTTCCTGAACCGAGGAGGGGCCTGATGTCCTGGTGGTGGTGCTTCAGGCATTGAAGTTGCTGACTCCCTTGCCAGCCTCTCACGCTGCCAGGCAGGCCCGTGGCAGGTGGGGAACAGGAGTGGGTGTGAGGGGGCACCTGCTCTCTGCCCTCACTTGCAGAGCTCCCCTGGTTCTCCTGTGTTTTGCAGTCTGTGGTGGTGCCCAGGTGTTGGGGAACAGCAGGGGCACTTCAGATCACAGTGAGCCACATCCTGGGAGATGCCGGCAGCCCCTACCTCACTGGACTTGTAAGACTGGGTGACTCCAGGCAGGCCTAAGTGGGTAGGGAATGGGGAGGGCCTAGGGGAGGAACTGTCCTGGAGGAAGGCCTGGAGGCTGGCCTGGTGGGCCTGGCAGACCCATTTTCTCTTCTCTGCAGATTTCCAGCGCCCTGCGGGACGAGGGCCCTGATTCCCACCTGCAGCACTTCCTCAGTCTCCGGCGAAGCTTCCTATGTCTTGTCTTCGTCATCATCCTGGGTGGCGGCTGCTTCTGGCTGACTACGCTGCACCTGGAGAGAGACCAGGCCCTGGCCCAGCAGCCTGGCCCAGGTAGCCCTGCCCCTTGCACCCATACCAGGCTCAGGGCTGACCCCAGAGGAGCAAGGAGCACCAGCCACCCCCTGAGCCCCTGGCCAGTTGATTCATCTGTTCCTTCATTTATGTATTTATTCAAAAATAGTTATCACTCCCCTGCTATGTGCCAGGCAAGGTTGCAGATGCTGGGGAGTGAAGGCCAAGTCTAAGCCCTTATGAAAATGAAATAAACAAGAAACAAACAGAAGAAGCAAAAGATAGAGGATGTTGGAGGTGATACGTACTATGGAGAGACGTTAAGCAGGAAAGTGGAGAGAGAGGAACAGGTCGGGACAGGTTTGCAATTTTTGAAAGGGTGGTCAGAGAGGTCCTTGCTGCACAGGTGACCTTAGAGCAAAGATTTGGAGGAGATAAGGGAGTGAGTCATGCAGCTGTTTTGGGGCAGGTGCTCCTGGCAGAGGGAACAACCAGTGCAAAGGCCCTGAGGTAGGAATGTACCTGATGTGTTTGAGGGCAAGGAGGCCAGTGTGAATGCAGCAGGAGCAAGGGGCCAGTGGTAAGGACGAAGGTGGTAGTAATGGGGCCAGAGCATGGGGAGTTTGGGAGCCTATGTAGGGACTGAGGCCTTACCTCTGAGTGAGATGGAAGCTGCTATGGAGTTTCCAGTGGACAAGCCCCAGGGTGTCTGATTTACATCATAAAAGCACCACTTTGGCTGCTGTGTTGAGAACAGACTGTAGGGGGTCTGTGTTGAAGCAAAGAGGCTATAGGAGGCTGGCAGCCATCAGGGGAGAGCAGCAGGGCTGGGACCATGGTGATGACATTGAAGGCAGAGACAAGGAGTCAGATCTGGAATTTATTTTGAAAATGGAAGCTAGGGTATTTTGTGAAAGCCTTTGCCCAGACCTGGTCCCAAAACACCTTCTGCCTCCTTTGGGGCTGGCTGAGCTCCTTCCTCCCACAGGGACCCCGGACAATAAGGACATGGATGGCAAGGCCACGGAGAGCCAACCCCTACTTCCTGGCACGAGTGCCTCCACAAAGGACCACTGAGGCCCCTGCCCTGCAGTGAGGAGGCCCCACCCACCTGGCCTGGATCCCTCCCGGTGGCCTCCACTGCCTCAGTGCCTCTGCCCACCTTTGGCTGTGGTTCTGGGGCCCTGGCCGAGCTGCACCTGCCACTTCTTTGCTCCCGGCTAGATAGCTGGCAGCGCCTGCGGCTGGGCTGGGAATTGAGCTGCCACCACCCTCCGCGGGAGGCCCACGCCTGTGCCTACACCCAGCACGAGGCCGCTCCAGCCTGGGGTTCTCAGCCTGGCTGCCTGTGGGCCCCGATTAAAGTATGGCCAGTACAAAGCCCATGGATATAGGCCTGTAGACAATCCTGTTATTTATAGCCTCAAGGTGTCTCTGCTGGGATTGGAAGCAAGAGAGGCGGAGGTGGGCAGTCTGGGCCAAGGATGCAGGGCTGCTGCTCTGGAAACCAAGGAGGCTGCTCAGCGTGAGTGTCTAGGTGTCCTCACCCTGGACTGCCCGCTCTGACCCAGCTTCCCCACTCTGAGGGGTCAGGAGGGCACAGGACACCGCTCTGTGTGAGTTCACCCTCTGAGCAAAAGATGGGGCTGAATCAGCAGTCTTGAGGGTGGGTTTCTCCTCTGGCTGGTGTGGGGGTGTGGCTGCAAGATGTAGGGAACCGCTCTGAGAAGTGCCCAAGCCTGCACAGACCCCGCTGCCCCAGAGCCACACCGGGGGACTCGCATGGCCTTGTACCTGTGCCCTGCTCTGCGCCCTGACCCCCACCTCAACCCCATGCTCTGACCCCAGCCCAGCCCATGGGGAAAGCTGGCTCTGTGGGACTCACATTTGGCCACTGGGTTCAGAGCAGCTGCACACAGTGGACCCTGCAGGAAACCAACAGCTTCCAGGCGGGCAGCAGTGGGGAGGCATGTTCTTTCTGCCATGAGCATGAGTGCCTCTCCCCCTCCCCCAGTGCCCTGCCGGGCAATCACTGCTCGCTCGCTGATCGCCATCTTCGCTGTGCCAGGCTGGGCTTGCCTCCCAGCAGCTGTGGGCAGAGCAGTGATTTAGACTCACGCTCACCTCCTGACCCTTGCTTGCTCCATCCCTGCCCCTTATCACTGGATGGGACAAGCTCCAGGAGCTGGACTCTTGAGCTCAGCCCACACCTCCCCCACAACCCAAGTCTCAGCCCTCCCTCAGGAGCAGCCATCACCGGGCTGACCAGCCCCTCAACCCACGATCTGACACTTGGAGCTCATGAAACAGGCTGCCTCTGAAGTTACAAGAAAAAGGATTCCTGGGGGTATTTGGTAAGGGTTCTATAGCCAATTATAATGTGGGCACAGGTGAGAGGGGGGCATTCCCTCACCACCAAGCAGTTCTCTGACACCAGCTGGGTGTCCTACAGTTCAACTCAATTCTGACACTGTCTACCCAGAGAGAGCATCAGATTTCTCTGGTTAAGGGTTCAGTCCTACAAGACTGCCCCTGCCACCCCCACCCTACGCTTCAGATGCCAATCACAAGTCCAGGTTGTGACCTCAGAGGTTCCCACGCCCCACTCCTTGGGTTCCATTAATTTGCAAGAGCGGTTCACAGAATTCAGGAAACCCATTTACTCACTAGATGACCGGTTTATTATAAAGGCTATAACTCAGGAACAGCCAGATGGAAGAGATGCATGGGACAGGGTCTAGGGAAAGGGCGTGGAGCCTTCATGCCCTCTCTGCATGCACCACTCTCCCCAGATGTTCATGTGTTCACCAACCCGGAAGCTCTCCCAACCCAGTCCTTCTGGATTTTATGGAGGCTTCATTACTTAGGCATGGTTGATTAAACCATGGGCCACTGGTGACTGAGCTCAACTTCCAGCCCCTCTCCCCTCCCTGGAGGTGGTGGGGGTTTAGTACTCAAAGTTCCAACCCTCTCATCACATGGCTGGCTCTCTGGCAACCAGCCCCGTCCTTAGGTGAATTCCAAAAGTCACCTCATTAACAAACAAAAGGCACTGTGCAGGCTCCCATCACCTAGGAAATTCCAAGGATTTTAGGAGCTCTGTGTCAGAAACAGGACAAAGACCAAATATATATTTCTTATTATAAATCATGGTATTACACTTGGTTTCTCCTAAGAAGGAGGCAGCCAGTCTGTGCAGGAGCCAGGATGTCATGGCCCCCCA